GTATTATTTTCCTTTACAGTCATTCACCCAGTATAAGCCAGTGAACATACTAGTCTAAGAATTCTTGCATTCCACAAAACGTCAATTTTTTAGGGTAATTTCAAGCCCAAGCTCCAAATGCTCACTGACACAGTATTACCGCCATCCCATCTTCTAGAAGTTTTGTTAGCAGAACACTCCGCAGCACACCTGGCAGCATTACCATACCTTCCAGACCAAGGTAGGAAAGTAATCCAAGAAGCAATCAGGTTTCTTGAAGCACAAAATTAAAAGTTTCCTTAGCACCAAGCGCTGCAGTGGGAAGTCGCTCCTTCACACGCGCGGTTCCTCACTACACACATCTTCCTTAATACTGCCTACGGAGTGAAACAGCCCCTTCGCAGAAGGGCTAACTTCGCGGAGCAGCGGGAAAGGAAACCTCCGGCTGCGACAGGCTGTGCGCCAAGACAAGGAAGGGAACTTCTGGCGGCCCCGCTCTCTGGGCGGCAGCCAGCTCTCAGTGACACCGCTTCCTCAGCCCCGACCCGGCCGGTCCAGCGGCTCCCAGCCCCGTGCCGCCTCCTCCCGCAGTTACTGCTGCCAGCAGCGAGCGCTGGGGCTGGGGCAGGGCCGGGGCTGCGAGGAGCCGCCGAGCGGGAGCGCAGCGAGGACGCCGTCCCCTGCCTGCCCTGCGAGCCTATGCCCAGCTCGGCCAGCTCCTCGCTTCTCCGACGTTCAAAGCAGCCTCCATCTCGCCCAGCCCAGCGCGCGGCGTTTTTAAACAAAAAGCGGGGGAGGACGGGAGCGCACGGGGAGGAAGCACGGCGGGCTCCCGGCAACTTCTCCCCGGCCCCGCACGGGCACCCACCCGCTCCCCGCTACCTGCAGCTCCGGGCGGGCGGCGCTCCCGCTGCCGGCGCTGCCCCCGCTCCGTTGCCGCCCGCCCGCAGGTGCCGGTGCCGGTACGCGCCCGCCGCGCTGCTCATGGACGGAGGCGGCGGGGGGGTCCCCGAGAGGAGGTCAGGGGGCAGAGACGCCCCGGCGCACCCGCGTCTAGCGGCTCGGGGTCGGAACTTGAGCAACTTACTTAAAAACGGCGGCGGCTGAAATCCAGAGCTCCCGCTTCGGTCCAGAGAGCACGGCGGACCCGGAGGGGATTACTCACACGCGCAGCGATGAAGCGCGTCTACGCACTGTGGTGGTGGAGCGGGATCTCATTTTTGCTGTGCTTCATTCAGTTCCTCATCTGCAAGATGAGGATAATGGCACTTCCTTTCTCGCATCCTATCTTCATCTGCGCCTTCACAGTGAAAAAAAAAAAAAAAAAAAAAAAAAAAAAATTAGGCATGGCGATAACTTTACATGTGAGTCACCTCGCTGACTTCAAGGGGATCATCCAGAGACACACAGTTAAGTGAGCATGTAAACATGTGAAAGCCCAGGGCCTGCCCTCTGAGCTCTGCAGAACAGAAGTCATCTGTTACTAAAATTCTGCACTGAATGGTAAAATGTGGTCCCCAAGGCAAGGCTGGCTTTTTTTCAGAGCAGGAATGACAAGGCTGCACCTGGGGAATTCTTTCAAGGCCCCTTCCCTCTGGGAAGCCCTGCAGATGTGTCCTTCACTTTCCAGGTAATGTCTGGGCACACTCCAGATGAACCAGGTACACTCTATTGCTTTGCAAGTTTGTAAGCCATCATTTTTTCTCATTTTGCAGAAGTGCACAACCCTCCGCATATCACAACTTATGCACAGACCTTATGGATCTGATAGGATTGAAACCCAGACCCAATTATCAGTTATTCCAGAACACCCTACATGTTCCAGTGCTGGGAAATAGCAGTATTTTACTTGCAGAATCACAAACATGAGAAAGAGAGAAAGAGAGAGAGAGAGAGAGAGAGAAAGAAAGAAAGAAAGAAAGAAAGAAAGAAAGAAAGAAAGAAAGAAAGAAAGAAAGAAAGAAAGAATAAGAAGGAAAGAAAGAAGGAAAAAGAAAGAAAGAATCCACAGAAAGGTGCCACCATAGGCTAAGCAGGCAGTGCCTTTCTCCAGGAAATGCAGAACTCTGCCCCAGTGAGACCAGGAGATAAAGGCAGGGGGAACTTCGCAACCACCCTTCAGAAAGGGGAACCTGGTTACCTCGAGGACGCAGCAGATTTCCACAGATATGCGCACCCCATCCAGATGCTCTGAAGCAAAAGGAGGGACATTTCTCAGGATGATTGTGCTTTCAGAAGGTCTTGTGTCCCTTCTGCCTTCCAGCTTTCATAGGGACTGCAAGCCAGCAGGTCTGAGCCTGCTCCAGCTATGATTCCACACTACACAAGCCACAGTTTCTCATCAAACATTTGATAAGAGTTTTTAAGGTTAGAATCAAGTTGCCAGTCATATGTGAGCTGAGTCGGCTGACACTGTGCCTTGTGAGATGCTTAGCATCTTCTGCATGTTGCTGTGCTGCTATTTATCATCAACCCATAGCTTTCAAGATGCAGATCTATTGAGGATCTTGTTATGGCTGGAGCCTGTGATAATTGCTAGCAGTACAGCACAGCAGCACTGAGCTCGCTCTTACACATAGCAAGTTCCTTGCTGGCAGCAGCAGGCAGTCAGTCCAAAGAGAGCTGTGATGCTCCTTCAAGCAGGTCTGTCAAGCAGATGCACACTTAGGCCCTGGCTTTAGGAGCTGCATTCTACAGCTGTGTTTCAGGCAGTATTTTGGCCACAAAGATTATCAGAGAGATGGAGCATCTCTCCTATGAAGCCAGGTTGAGGGAACTGGGCTTGTTCAATTTGGAGAAGAGAAGAAAAGGCCTCATTGAGGCCTTCCAGGACCTGATGGGAGTTTACAAGCAGGAGGTAGACTGACTTTTTACATGGTCTTATAGTGATAAGAGAAATTTCCTTCAGATTCATTCGTAACTGTAAATAAAAATTGTTATTGGAGGAGGTACAATGTTTCTATTGAGAATATCGCCATTCTCCATTCACTGCTTTCCTATAACAGATTTACCAAACTCTGAAAGGACAGCATGCCACATTTGTGCTGCTGCAGTCCATTATCGGACAGATGATGATGATGAAACAGAAAAATAAATAAAATGTTTTATAAATTGAGAATCAGCAGAGATGTTTTGTGTTTAGAACGTTCACATTCTTTATAACAACTGGAATTCAGAAGACAGGTGCTCCTGTAGCTGCTCTGCCACAAGATTTATGTTCCAGACCTATATTTTCAGAGGAAAAATGAAAACAGTGTCCACAGAATTTGCTTGTGGGATTGTAAACTTGTTGGGTGAGTGGTTCTCATTCGATTTGGAAAACAGAAGGTCTGATCAAAATTAGGATTGTGAGTCACTCAAAGCATGTGAAATTTCCAAAGGCACAAATGGGCAATTGGTGTTGTTTTCTATGGTCAGAAATCTCCCCCAAACACTGAATTCTACCACAACACTAAGTATGACAAGCTTTGTTCCACAGTCTTTCTTGCATGTAGTGCCTAGGGGCAGCAGTTATTAGGTGTCACTGTTTCCATCCCACATAATGTCTAGCACTGAATGGATTTTCCTTTTTTTATAGAGTTTTGATCCACTAAGCCATAGTCTCAGATTTTTAAATTCAGAACGCATCTCCTCCACCTTTTAGCAGAGTTGGAATGCTTTTACCTCACTGGCACCATGATTTCTTCTCCTTCCAGATCATGGGGAAACCACCTGTGCTACTGACATAAGTACCAAGCACCAGCACTGAGACACTGAAATATTCTTTCTTTCATAGCAGTCTGCGTCATTTTCCTCCTTGTATTGTTGTGCTGACTCCTCAGCTACTGTTGCCTCATATTTATTGCTCACCTCTCTCTTGTCTTATTTTGACTTCCCCTCATCCATTACTTCATGTTCAAGTTTTTTTACATATGAGCATTTAAGGCAATTGCCTCTAAGCTTTTTTCCACTCAACTTTTTCTTCACTGACTGACTTCCTTAAACACAGTGACAAGTCCCTTGCTCTCTTCTGTCTCTGCATTTTTAACTGACTTGTACCACATTGCCTATTTTGAATCACCTGTGTATAATTAAAAGCCCTCCTTGTTGTACATGGGCCTCTCTTTCCAACCCTTCTCTGCAAGCTTCTTATCTAGAGGCCAGATAAACTCTTAGTGCCTTACAGACACTACTACAAATACAGAATAATTAATTGTTTTAACAGTACAAGGAAATGTGGATGGCAAGTGGGAACACAAACGCCTAAGAACAGGACCACAGACTTTTCTGCACTAATGCATATCAGCTCAGCTAACAGAACACTTAGATCTGACATGGAGAAAAACATGCCCAGTCCAGCATGAAGAGACCAAGATAATTAAAGGACTGGAGAATCTTTCACAGGAGGTGAGGCTGTGAAGTGGGACAGCTCAGCCCTGA